ATCATTCTTCGATACCTTGCATAAGACATGTTCGGGTCGGAATTCACACAACAATCCACTTGCCACAAAGGTCCCAAAATAGTGAAAAAAGAAGTTGAACGATCTATTTCTTTTCAATCTAATGATGGAAGTTATGAAAACATCAGAAGACCACTGTAAGACAGTAAATTCTTATAATTTACATGATGATAGACGTGTAAGTGCCGCTTGTGCACGTGAACCGCGCCCACATATGAGAAATTGACCACAGTGGAAATGCAATAGCTGAGAGAACTGTGCTGATTTATAGACAGGGTCAACCCCCCCCCCTCCCCAACCCCACTTTTTGAAAATCTCAATTCCACCTATTCCCACTTGCAAATAACAATAGATGTTTAGATTTACCTGTATTTTGTACATTTAAAGACAGAAAATAATGAATACATCTATGAGAAAATATGATTTATTTTGGATTTTCGAAATATTTAAAAGATCTTACAAGAAATAGCAACTTAATACCTAAATTTAAGAACATTGTTAATTATTTGTTCACACAAAATTCCACCTACTTCCACGTGAAATTTCACTTTTTTCTACCTGATTTTCAGAAAGTGGGAATAGCTTGCATAAACCGAATCGATTACGGCTGATTCTGTGAGAGGATTTACCGAAAGAAAACATGAAATACGGATGGACAGACCAGGATAGTAATAATATACCAACAATTATACTTTAGAAGGTGCGAGTATGAAAGGTTCAGTATGGACCTTGATAAAATATTAGATTAAATAACCTCTTTTTATTATAACAGTTCATTAAAAATTCCAAATTCTATGCGCTCATGGTGGATGCTTTAATATCATCCAGATTGTTACTATTGTTGTTTATGTGAAAGCTGCCATTGTAAAAGACATGGTAAGTTTATTAATCGTTTCTCTTAAAGCTGCTTAGAAGTAATTAAACAATTATATCCATATCTAACTTTTAAAAGAGAAATTTCATGGCGTTAACATATGCGATAAAGATCCCCTTGCAATGACCCTATGACAGAAAATGGTAACCTATAGTTGTCCCACTGAGATTTAATACTCTGCATAACATTAGTTGAGTAGTTTTGCTAACGAATATCTTTAAGAAATTCTAATTTACATCCATTCTAAAAGGGAAAAAAATCGGAAAAAGCGGTTTCCAAACCTTGTCTCGGGATCCATTACATGTGCTAAAAAATACTATTTTTATTTTAAAATATTTAGTTAAACGAATATTTCTAATAATATCCTGATATATTACAATTCTGAATTCTGATTCCTAACTGTAGCATATGTTAGAATATGAATGGAATGAGCATGTTTTCTTACTGAATTTTCGATTTTAAAAAGACAACTTCAAGAGAGAGAGAGAGAGAGAGAGAGAGAGAGAGAGAGAGAGAGCATTATCCTTTTCAGAAAAGTTAGCTCACAGATATTTGTGTTTCCAAACCATTTTTTTTTCAAAAAATCCAGACTTGATTACTTTATGCAAATACTATGTAATGAATATATTTTTAAAAATTTTTTAAAAACATATTTTAATGTTTTGATCGGAGATCGGAAACAAGTTTTTAGAACGAAATATAAATAAATCTATTATGATGTTTAAATTAATGAACTCGTTAGCTACATCATTATTCAATTATATTGATTTCTTTCTTTCAGGGTGACTTTCCTCAATGAATAAAAGCAGTACAACATAGATTTATGCTGTGTGTAAAATTAGCCTATAAAAATAAAATTCACCTCTCATCAAAATTTTTGTATAATGTTTACTTAATAAAACAGCATTTTGCTGCCTTTTCTTGTTTTTATTTTATTTTCATACTACAGATAATTCTTCTTTTACAATTTTACAAGAAATTAACTGCCCAAGAAAATATGGCCAGAGTTAACGGTTTTAAAAATAGGTTAAACTGCATGGTCATGGTTTTTGGCAAATTATTGGTATTAATTGAAAAATTCAGAGCAAAGACTAAAGTTAATGTTTTGGAGAACAGTCGGGCAGCCAAACGGATGGACAGACAAAAAAGAACTCTAGCCCAAATCTCCGATTACTGGGACATACAAATCAGTTTTTTTAAAATCTCATATTAACCATACATTGGAACGAAACATTCGTTACTTGATATATGTTATATAGATATTAATTTCTTTAGTCGAGCAAGATTTTTTGAAAATCTATTATTTGTCTTTGCAAGCTTCACATGAATGCCTATTTTTATTCTGAATAACAAATCTAATTGATTATATAACCAAAAACTTCATGTTGAGTGTATATTTTTCGTGGAATCCAAATGGAAAATAGTCTGAAATAGAAGGTACACCAAACATGAAGCCGTCAGAAATTTTCTACAGCCAAGATTCTATCAAAAAAGAGTTTGACAAAGGATATACTATATATTCCACTCTCAGTGCCTGTAAAAAGCATCGTTTTGTCATTGATAAAATATCTCCGATAAGAGTTTGCAAGAAAGATGGAAAATGGTACTCCTTGAACAACCGTCGACTTTGGGTCTTTAAGAGATTGGAAGAGGAGGGACACATATCCTCTGTGATAATCCAGCAAGTGAGCTCTGATCTTTTGACCGCTCAAAAATTCACCACGAAAAATGGAGAGGAAAGTGTGGAAATTCGTCAACGACTTGACGATTTCTTCTTCTTCTAGTTATGTATGCCAGAGGATATAGAAGGAGGCTTTTTACCCTTAATATATACATATCACAAATTCATTTTATATATGACTTATTTATTAAGCATTATTTGTTGTATTCTAGTTTCATAAAAGAACCTTAACTCTCATTGGACTGAGCTGACAATGCCTATTTTCTCTTTTTTTCTGTAAATATCTACTGTTTATTATACTATTATGTCAATAAATTTTATTAATTTTCCTTGAATGTTTATTACTTATATAAAGGATAATATCGCACCAAACTTGTTATTACTGAATCATGAAAGTACAATTTTCGATATATTTCAGCATTAAAAGAAATGTTTCTTGAAAATATTATGACACATTTAATGACAGCAGATTTTAAGCTTTTAAGTCTGTTCAAATTTCCAATCAAAACCATTTATCAAAGGTCATACCAGGTGATTCAAATATATGAAACTACTTTGATCCTCAAAGAAATCATCAATCTTAGTTTATATATTCCATTTTTAAAAAGTATTACAAAAATCTTACAAAATGTTTTCTTTTATCGTAGAAAACATCATTCAGGTTGCTAATATGAATACTAGTATAAACCTCTAGTTTTGCACTGATATGGCGTTGGAAGTTATACCGATCTTGTCAGTCATATAAAACATACATGTATAATGGTGAAGTTAAAGTTAATTTAAATGAATGTGCGGTGGGTTTTTAGCTCTACTGGTCAGAGACCAGAAGAGCTTATGCGAAAGTAATGCGTCCGTCGTCCGTCCGTCTGTAAACAATTTTTCAAAATGCTACTCCTCCTACAGTTTTGGTCCGATTTCAATATAACTTGGCACACAAGTAGACTACACTAAGATACATAATTCTGTGCATCGGTTTCTGATTTCGATGAACAGTGTTGCCATGGTTACTAAAAATAGAAATTTCTGTGAAATGCTACTCCTCCTACAGTTTTGGTCCAATTTCGATATAACTTGGCACACACGTAAACTACACTAAGATACATAATTCTGTGCATCGGTTTCTGATTTCGATGAACGGTGTTGTCATGGTTACTAAAAATAGAAATTTCTGTGAAATGCTTTCAAAATGCTACTCCTCCTACAGTTTTGGTCCGATTTTAAAATAACTTGGCACACAAGTAGACTACACTAAGATACATAATTCTGTGCATCGGTTTCTGATTTCGATGAACAATGTTGCCATGGTTACTAAAAATAGAAATTTCTGTGAAATGCTTTCAAAATGCATATCAACTATCAACTTGGTAGTATACCTCATCTTCACTCTCTAGTCGCCTGCGTTTTGCAGTGGTTAGAGGGTCTGCTCTAGAGTCGCGAAGTAAAGAGTCAATCCTTACGTCGCAGGTTCGAATCCCACTGTGGGACGATGAGACCGATCCTTCAGATGAGACCGTATAAACCGAGGTCCCGTGTCACAGTGGGTGCTAGCAGGAAAAAGATCCCTCCCTGCTCAATGGCCCTGAGTGCCGAGTATAGGACAAAATTTGCAGCTCTCCACCAGCAAGTGGTTGCGTCTCCATATGAGTGAAAAATTCTCGAGAGGGACGTTAAACAATATACAATCAATTAATCAATCATCTTCACTCTTTCCTTTATTCAGTATTTCTAGCTCTACTGGTCAGACCAGAAGAGCTTATGCGATAGTAATGCGTCCATCGTCCGTCCGTCTGTCTGTCCGTCTGTCTGTTTGTAAACAATTTTTCAAAATGCTATTCTTCCTACAGTTTTGGTCTGATTTCAATATAACTTGGCACATAAGTAGACTACACTAAGATGCATAATTCTGTGCATTGGTTTTTGATTTCGATGGTGTTGCCGTGGTTACTAAATATAGAAATTTCTGTGAAATGCTTTCAAAATGCTACTCCTCCTACAGTTTTGGTCCGATTTTAATATAACTTGGCACACAAGTAGACTACACTAAGATACATAATTCTGTGCATCGTTTTTATTTTGATGACTGACAAGGTTCAACTTTCTATTTATTGCTGTTTTAAAGTTTCAAGTCCCAACTGCTACTTTTCTCTTCCTTTGTTTTAAGTATAAACCCGTAGAGCTACAGTCTCGACAGAGACTTCTGGTTTTTATGGAGTTCAGGTCTACATAGAATGGAAGGTCTCCGCATACTTACAAAAAAAAACAAAAACATATATGTATTAATTAAAATGAAATACTATATATTTTAAATTATTTTTGTCTGGTAGTTTAAAGCGAAAGTATCAATTTAAAAAAATCCCATACTGATTTCGACAATTGATATCGGATATCAAGTTCTCTGAATTGATATCGAAAGTAAATAGACCGACGATGACAACCAGATTGAAGCCATCAGAAATCTTTTACAGTCAAAATTCCATAAAAGAAACCTTCCAGGATGGGGAGTCGATATACACAACTGTCTCCAGGTGCCAAATACACCAATCCGTAATCGACAATATTCCTTCGATGCGAGTCTGCCAGAGAGATGGTAAATGGTTTACCTTAGATAATCGCAGACTCTGGGTATTTCGGAAACTAGAAGCTTCAGGTCACGTGACTGACGTAGAGGTCATAGTGGTGAGCAGTACTCAGATGTCGGAGGATAAATTCACAACCAAAAATGGAGGTGTAAGTGTGAGGGTCCGAGAACCGGTTTCCGAATCTGATGATGACGATTTCTATTACGATGGTGAGGATTCTTTTGACGATTTTTTGCTGTGATTTCTTGACTTTGCTAACGTATTTTACTGAATTGGATTGTTTTAAAAATGGATCTTTACAGCGTTTTTTAATTCTCGAAAATACTTGAGCCAAACAATAAACCAACCAATGTCTCTGCTATGCTTTTATTAATACTGTCGTTTACTGATTTTTATTTGAAAATTAAAATAAGTACACGACTATACCTAGTCGTGTACTTATTTTAATTTTCAAATAAAAATCAGTAAACGAAAATACTTTTGAATCTGAACAAATTATTTGTAAATTAAAAGCGTGATACAAAAGAAATAACATAAGTCATGTTACGAAACATTGTATTTTTTCTAGCTGATTCAGTATAACATACACGTATATCTATGTTTATTTGTATTTCTTTTTGATTGCATACATTATCAAAACAATGGTAATAAAAACTTTCTTAAATAACAACTGTTTCTTTAGTTTCTTTCTTCACATGCTTCATTTGATCAAATTTTCCTTATTTCTTTACAAAAAATAACAAATATCATATAACAGGAAATTTACAAATTATGTCAATGGCAATCTATAATTAAATTTAGATGTTCCGACTTCGCTAACGCTTCTCAAACGATGTATGATAAGCGGTAGCAGATTCAGAACATCTAATTTTAATTAGATTGGGTCAATGGCAATTTTACACGAATAGTGCTTCTTAAACATGGATTGCTTAATGGCCCAAATTACATGAAGTTATTGGACCTTTGCTGACCCAACAATGCTCCTTATGTTGGGTCACTGTATGCATTTAACACTGTAATTTGCCCATCGGCCCTAAATCAGACCAACTTGTTGGATTATTGTTGGGCCAATGTAACAGACAAAAATTGGCCCATTGTTGGGCAATTGGCCCATTGTTGGGCCAAAGTATTCTTTCAATATTGGGCAAACGTCATTTTTGTTCAGTTGGGCCATTGTAAGCAATTAATGTTGGGCCAACGGGCATTTGCTCATCGGGCCTTAATCAAACCAACTTGTTGGCTTATTGTTGGACCAACGTAAGTTTACGTAACGTATATTATTGAGCCATTGTTGGGCCACTTATTCTTTCAATAGTAGGTAAACATCATTTTTGGGCCAATGTCGGTTTGTATCTTATTGGCTCTCCATCTGGACAACTCATTTGAGCTTCATTGGTAATACATACATGTACTCACAATACCAGGATTTCATCAGATTGCTATCAACAAGTAATTCAGTTGCAAGTAGCTCTACATTAATGCAAAAGAAAAACCTGAGAAAAAAAAGAAAACAAAAAATGAAATTAAATTTAAACATATTTTATTGCTTGGTTTATGAAGAAAAAAAGATTTATAAAGAACAAAAATTTAATGTTCATTTGTAGCGATACATGTACGGTAAAAACCGTTACATGTACATGTATACTCTCTCTTTGATTTGAATACACGAGTTCAGTAAATTGCAGGTATTCATAAGAACGTCTAAAAAGCCCTCCTTTCTAGCATCCGCAACGTGTTTGTTACCGACAAACAGATACACAAATGTTAGAACGCCAGGTATGCCACAGTATATAACAGAAAAAAGGTTAGGCACTGTCACTTTCCATCTAACTTGTGTTTTAAGTACTGAATAAATTTTGTTTAAACTTCAACATGTTAGACCATTTTCTCGACAGCTTTCATCCTTCAACACCTGGATTCTGCATTTGTCAGATTTTCACAGATTTGTACACGACATCGTTTAAACCAAACGTTAATAAAACCATGTCAAAACAAGCATATAAATACTTACAAACTGCAGATATACAAGGTATCGGTCTCTATGGTGGCATATTTCTGCCCCTTGTGTGCAAGTTATTTTTCTATCAAATATGTCGACATACAAGATAAATATGTTGACATGCAAGATAGTTATGTCAACATGCAACATAAATATGTTGACATGCAAGAAAATTGCAATCAAATAAATATGATAAAAAATCTTCAAAAATCTCAAATATCGCCCACATGTGACATCCAACATGCTAGATGCTACTAATTTATGTTAACGTGCAACATAAATATGTTAACATGCAACTTATTTATGTTGTCATGCAACTTATTTATGCTGACATGCAACTTAGTTATGTTGACATGCAAGATAAATATGTTGACATGCAACTTTTTTATGTTGACATGCAACTTACTTATGTTGACATGCAACTTATTTATGTTGACAGGCAAGATGAATATGTTGACATGCAACTTATTTATGTAAACATGCAACTTAGTTATGCCGACATGCAAATTATAAGTTGCATGTCAACATATTTATCTCGCATGTCAACATAATCAAGTTGCATGTCGACATAAATAAGTTGCATGTCAACATAAGTTAGTAGCATGTCAACATAAATAAGATGCATGTTAACACATCTAAGTTGCATGTCAACATATTTATCTTGCACGTTAACATAAATAAGTAACATTTAGCATGTTGAATGTCAAATGTGGGCAATATTTGAGATTTTTGAAGATTTTTTATAATTTTTATTTTATTGCAATTTTCTTGCATGTCAACATATTTATGTTGCATGTTGATATAGCTATGTTGCATGTTAACATATCTATCTTGCATGTCGACATATTTGATAGAAAAATAACTTGCACACAAGGGGCAGAAATATGCCACCATAGGTCTCATTACGCTCGTGTCAGCTAAAAAATTGCGCGAATATTATAAGTTGCCCGGAAGCTGTCTACCAATGATGCTCAGCCAGATTCATGGTACTGGGCCAACTAAGGGCCAATGCCAATCCCCCAACAAATATTCTCTCTTATTACATCAGTTTTATGATATAACGCCAACAGTTAGCGCAACTTTGGCCCCATGTTCCATAACAAACTATCAGTATTCCAAGTTGGACCACCGTTGACTCATTAAAGGTAACCCAACAGCGATACTACACCCATAATGTAATATTGGGCCAACGATGTGCTGATATCTGGGGGAAGATTTCTCTGAATCTTTGATGAAGTTTATTGTAAAATAAAAAAAATTAAAAAAGCTGGGGAAATTTTGCAATTTTATTTTACCGATCTTCCGTGCAAGGGTTTACTTCTAATTGATTGATTGATTGTGTATTGTTTTACGTCCCAACAAGTAATTTTCACTCAATCAGAGGCATCATTATATAACTGTGAAAGGATTTGTTTAGACCTTTACTTTATACTTAGGGCCATTGAGCAGTGAAGAATCATATCGTGTCAACGCGTGTCGTTATATTAAAGCCGCTTGGTCCGATTCTAATCGCTAAAAAAATATATTCGTTTTTCTTCTTGAAAAATAATTGTCCATAGATTATTTAAACTTTTGTCAAATTATATCCCTTAAGTCTTTTTCTTTTTAAAGTTATCAAAATTCAAAAGTTAAAAAAAATAATTTTTGTTAGGTCACACAAAAAATAATCCTTTGTTTACATTGCGTGAAATCACTTTCGAAAAATTAAATTTATCGCTTACATGTATAACTCATGAAGAACAAACCCGAGCATTTTTCCCACAACAAAGTGTACACGGGCAATATTCTAGCCCTCGGTACTAAACTCCCTTTTTAAATTTTTTTTAAAAAATATCTGATTTTCCTTTATTCTGTAAATATGCATATTCAGTAAATTTCTAAATTTTTAAAAGATATATCATGACTTAGGATTCTACTAATGGAAAAAAATACTCCGGTTTGAATTCTCTTCATAATTAGATATAACCGATAAAAGTATTTTTTTCAAAGGTGACTTCAAAACAGATCTTAACTTCCCGTCAGGAACTGCTGTTTGTCAACAAGGTTTTTGGTCTATGTTTTCCATGTAAGGATTGTTGTAATAAACTATTTAATCAATCTTATAATTAATTTTTATATATTATCTATATAATGACATACTTTTATTGTGTAAGATAATATGAGCCTGTTTCGGATGAAGCGGCTTTAAAAGGAGCCTTGGTTTAAGGTCTCATCCGAAAGGCATAGCTTCTGTTTAAGTAGGGTGTTCAGATTTATTATATGTCTTCATAATTAACATATTTAATTTGGACAAAAAACTAAATCTTTCGATGTTAAAACGAAGCCTTAAAGCCATCATTTCATATCCAAATCCAAGATACATAACATTCAGAATGTAACACCGAAACGTAAAGTTTTATTTATATATTGATTAATATATCGTACATAAGGTAGATTTCTTTACATTAATTTATTCCATTCTTAGTACCAAGACACAGTTTTCTGACATATGACGGACGGACTAAAAAGCAAAGTCTAGATGATAATTTTCATGTTGAGAAAAATGCATGTTTCATTGATTATGTAATATTGACATAAGTTGTTTACAATACATGTACAAGGTAAGTAGATAGCTCACAAAAACCACTGGCAGAATTGCAAACATAAAACTACTTTATACAGGAAGATTTTCGACCTGTTTCATGATTTAATGCATGCCGACTTTAACAAAGGTCGATACACATTTTCTATTCACTGATTAAGAATGTCTAAATGTATAACTTTGGGCAAACTGTTCTGGAAATATAAATTTGTATAGAAAACCGGTTCTCTTTTATATCTTTAAATCCAAATCGGAAGAATTACACTTCAAAATGAATACTTTGCTATTGAAACCTTCAGAAATTTTCTACAGTCAAGACTCTATAAAAGCGATATTCCAGAATGGGATTCCAATATATACAACCTACAAGGAATGCAAAAAGTACCCTTGTGCTATTGACGATATACCATTAATAAGAGTCTGCAATATGTCGGCAAATGGTACACCCTTGATAATCGTCGACTCTGGGTTTTTAAGACTCTTGAATCTGAAGGACATATTATTGATATAGAGGTCAAAATTGTGAGCAGTATTTTACTGACTGAGGAGAAATTCACAACCGAAAATGGTGGTGAGAGTATAAAGATCCGAGGACTAGCTTATTGCTATGATGATGATGACGACTACGACAGTGATGAAGATTCAAATGACACAAGTGATGACGAAGATTCGATTGATAAAAGTAATTATGGATATGCAACCGACAATAGTTATGATGACGATGCCATTGACAGTAGTTATGATGAAGATTCAAATGACAATAGTGAAGATGAAGATTTAAATGACAATAGTGATGATGAAGAATCAAATGGAAATAGTGATGATAATTATGCAATCGAGAATAGTTTTGATGACGATGCCATTGACAATAGTTATGATGACGATGCTATTGACAATAGTTATGATGACGATGCTATTGACAATAGTTATGATGACGATGTCATTGACAATAGTGATGATGAAGAATCAAACGGCAATAGTGATGATGAAGATTCGATTGATAAAAGTAATTATGGATATGCAACCGACAATAGTTATGATGACGATGCCATTGACAATAGGTATGATGACGATGCCAGTGACAATAGTTATGATGAAGATACCATTGGCAATAGTTATGATGAAGAATCAAATGACAATAGTCATGATGAAAAATCAATCGATAAAAGGTATGATGAATATGCAAACAACATAAGTTATGATGACGATGCCATTAACAATAGTTATGATGAAGAATCATATGACAATAGTGATGATAAAGATATGATTGACAGATGTAATGATGAAGACTCAATTGAAAAAAGTAATGATGAAGACTCAATTGAAAAAAGTAGTGATGATGATACAATTGAAAATAGTAATGGTGACGATGCAATTGACAATAATTATGCAGGATTAATCAATAATAGTGTTGTTGAAAATGCAATCGGAAATAGGGATGATGAAAATGTAATTGCCAATTGTAATACTGAAGATTCAATTCACAAAAATGATGCTGAAGGTTCAATTGATAATAGTGATGAAGAAGATCCGCACGGTCATCAGGGGATGCTCCCTCCTCCATGGCACCTGATCCCACATCTGATTTTCGGAGGTCCATGTTTGCTCTGCTCCTATTTTGTATTGTTTTATGGACTTTGATATTGAATACTGTTCCTTATCTCCATATCCTTCCAAATGACAGCAGTTAATAAGGTTATATTCATAAATGTGCTAACAAGGATTCGTTTAATGATAATGATGATGAAGATTTACTGAAAATATTGATAATGAAGTTTTAATTCAAAATAGTGATGGGAAGATTAAATAAAAAAATGAATTTCTTAGACAATATTGAAATTCAAGGTGAAGGGTTTTGTGAAAGACACCAGTTCGTTTGCTTGCTGAAGAATGTACATATACTTTTATTCAAAAATATTTTACACATGCATGTAATCATAAAAAAACCCGTAACATCGTTAAAGAAAATGAATATTACAAACAGTGATATATCTCAAAAGAAAACAACCTAGTAAAACAGTACAATTTTATTAAAAAGATATACATGTTAAAAAATGGAACAAAAATTCTGGGTGTGCTTTAGGTGTTACAAGAAGTACCCAGTAATTATTCCCTGTTGACGGATTACACCCGCCGTGAGCCCTATGACGGATCATCCCATAATCTAATTTAGTATACAAGCATAGCAATTGGTATGAAACGTTTCAACCAAAAATACTACACTTAGTATATATTTGATTATAAGGTCAACTTCACGACTACAGAATTGAATAAATGTTGACTTTAAACAATGTTGTTGAAATCCCTGTAGAATCAACTAATGTGTGAGTAGTCTACCTCCGTTTAAAAATTGATTGTACTCAGATCATACTCTTGAGTAGGAAAGAAATTTGGAGCCATAAACACCATATGTAGATGATAATGGAATACTTCATACATATTAAGGAAAGCCGACGATTGAAACGCTGATGAGGTCATTTCTTTTGTCATACAATTTAATTTGTAATTAGCCTTTGTTGTCTATAGACAACAAATCATTCAAATATATTCAATTATGATTAAAAAAACATTTTCAAATAATTTGACAATTATTTTTAATTTTTGAATTCCGTTTGGAATAAAACTGTTCACTTTCCATGAATAGCAACATCTTATTTCTTAAAATTCAAACAAAGGAAGATCTTCGTTTTTAAATGCTCATAGTAGAAGAGAAAAGAGTAACCATACATTGTAAGTGTTTCGAAGAAGTATAAATCTTTTTCTTTCATGAAGTCTCTTATTCAACTTAATATTATCAAAAATTATGAACGTATTCTGTTTGTTTACAATAATACTTCCGTGTAAAGAAAAAAAATTCAAATGTATTTTGCAGAGACATATAATAGATTTATCATATGTCTCTAGATCTATTATTTTGTTATTTACAATTCCCACTTTATTTAAGAAGATATGGATGTCTTATAAAGTTTACATCATGCATTCTTTTATTGGAAATACGAATTAAATACTTCGATACAAAATCTGAAAAGATTTTTGTCGCACGATACAGAAAGAAGGTCTTTCTTTAAGCTGAACAAGGCTACGGCACAGTCAATAACAGCGCCATCTTTGATACCGATTTCTTTCAGAGAGACTTCTCCTCGGCGTAGCAATACTCGTCGTCTTTGATCCGGGAGCCCACATCAGTAATTTCCCATCCAGCCGCATCACTTCATTTCTCAAATAAGTTTTCAAAGTGTCAGTCTGTAATTACATGTCACAGTAAGACAAACAAAATGCAAAAAAATTCATAAACCTTTTAAAAATGTTTTGTTATACCCCTACTTAAAAGTCCCTATATAATTTCTTACTTTAAAAAGTCTATTAGTTGTTTTCCCCGACTGTCCTTCCAGGAACTGTTAAAATCGACTGTTTATCTCTAACCTAGACTCCCTAGTCAACAACTGTATATCCTAATTACCACAAACGAATAACTTTTACAGTGTCATAACCTTCTCTTGTTGATATAAATATATAATAATGTGTTTTAAATGTCTTGGTGAGATTACTCTCCCTATTAATAAATTGGGACTTCACAGGGTTTTTATATAAAAAAAAATTAATGTACAATTTATCGCACATATATTTTTTTTAACATAAAATTCACTTTTGAGATACAGTACATGTATTTTTTTCATTGAAAAGATCACCTATAAAAGGTATTCCCTTTTCTATTCACGATGTCAAAAAAATTAATTAAATTATCTATGGAAATTAATACTTCACTCCGACTTTTGGATCTATTAGTCACTTAATAGACACACATAAGCAAAAAAATAATAAATTGCCTGTATGGACCAATATTTTTAGTAATTTCCAACAAATTGTTTTAAGTTCTTGATTTTGATAGTGAAATTTCATCATAAATATATACTTCAGTTTCTGCTTAGAATGATTGTAGTGTATAACTTGACCCCCAAATCGGCCTTATATATGTCCAAAATATATACATTTCTAGATAATTTTAAACATTCCAGATTCCCAAAATGGTCTTATATATGTCCAAAATAAATACATTTCTAGATAATTTTAAATATTCCAGATTCAAGATAAAGGTATTTTGTGATTTTACTAAGGATGTGGGCAGATTTAACATCAAGTTGTTAATGTATACCAGTAAATAAAAATTTTGATTTTGAAAAGCTTCTATGTAAAGATGTTGTGTTTTTGAGGCATAATAAAATAAAATTTAGTATATACTACCGGGTATTCTATCTTTAATTTTATTTGTTGAAGGTCGTAAGCCCAGGCATTGACAGATCTAAGTTTATAGAAAATAAAAATGGTAAAGGTACATGTAACAACTATTCTTCGTTTTTTGTTTTACACTTCAAGTGGAATTTGCATGTTTTCGGATAAGACCTACAATACTCTGATTGCTCAATGGTCCTCAGTTAGGAGAAACATTTAGGTCTAAAATTGAAGTCCTTCACCGAAATTTGGTAATATTTCTCTATGTCAGTAAAAATGGTCTCGTTTGGTACTTAAAATTACATACATGTACGATCAACCGAACAATATTTTAAATCTATACGAAGAATGCGACTCTAACCTTAGCCTCTATTTTGTTCATATTTTGCACACTTTTAAATCTTGTGAAAATTTCCACTTATACTTAACATTACCAAAAAAAAAAAAGAAGGAAATTGAAAAGGTAGTGTTGATTTGACTCTAAGTATATATAATATGAGGGGCGCTCAATAAATAATGTCATTGGGGCTCGGAAAGAAACAAAACACGCTTTTCTATGACTAAGTCTTAATGATTTAACTAAAATATTCTCTTTCAATTAAAACACATATCCGTTACAATTTCATTCAATTTCTAATTGTTTTTCGAACACATTTTTGAGTATGACCCTTCGTATACTGGAATATGGCAGATCCTATGATTTGCTGTACTTGTTTTTTTTTCTTTCCGACAGGATATTTTTCTAAGCTTATAGGAAATGAAATAAATCAAAGGTTGAAAGATCTGGCAAATTTTGTTGGTGTGACAAAACAATAACTTTCTGTTTATCCCCAAAACTCCTTTACTCTTCATGGCCTGTGGGTTTGGACGCCGTCATGAAGACATTAAATGTAGCGAATTCCTCATTCTGTTTTCTTCCTCTCATAAACCTTTCAATTTTTTTGCAAAAAAATGTTTTCTAGACTCCTTCAGAAATTTGAACTTCCTCCCCGAATATGAATTTGAAGAACAAGACCGCTAATATTTAAGAAAATAGCATATAAGACTGTTTTATGCTCCTGCAATTCTTTGCTCTTCTTATACCTTTGCAGTTTTGTCAAGTGCATCTTATTGTAAATTTATTTTGTGGACTTTAAGCAAAATGGGTACAAGTTCATTATCTGCATGTTAGAATTTCATACAAACGTGGATAAGTACAAATTTTGATTTTTTAAGAATAATTGTTTGGATATTCCTACACGCTACACGCTGTCGTTTTCACTCATTTTTCAAAATATAGGGTGTCCTTTGAGTATTAAACTTTTTTACTATAAAATGTGCCTTTAAAACAGTATGAACTATCTCCAAAATGATTTTTATCAATTTTGCTATGTGTCTTAAAGGCAATAAAACATAATCAGTGATAATTTGTTGAATTTTCACAAATTTACATCGGTTGTTGTAAGTCACTGTTGCCAAGGATAGTACCCATTTTTGATGCCCATTATATATTTTTGTTTATTGAAATCCACATGTTCACGTGTCTATAAAACAGGCATTGGTTGCTGTAAATTTCACATATTTCAGTTAATATATTTTTGGATATTAACAAGTTTTACAGCTGCTTTAATGAAGGGTTTAATATTACTCTAGTTTACTGTTTCTTGACCATTCATTTTTAATGACGTGTCTCGAATAGCCCTTGTTTTCCAGCTTCCCACGATAAAATAATGCGATGAAAAGTTTTCACACAAATTAAACTGTTATCAATTCATTAAAGATTCAATAATGAGAGAAAGTCAAACTTTATGTCATATGACTACTATGTTGTATGTCATCGAGATAATGACATTATTTATTGAACGTCCCTCGTAGTTTAATGTACTATAAGAAGTTCTCAACGAAGTCCATTCAATAACCATGATCTATTTTCAACTCATCCCCCTTCTTTCATTTAATTGTCTTTTCTACCATCATCATATATATTTCTTCGCTATGATGATCATTGGAAATAGATTAATAAAAAAAATTGTATTTAGGAAATATTGAACATAAAATGAAATTAAAACATTATCAATCTAAATATTTTTCGGGTAGAGAACTCACCTCTGACACATCTACCATGTCCGTTCTTCTGTTGGTAGCAGATTGAATTTGGCTTTTTCTGTCCCATTGGTTCAAATTAATAGAGCCTATGTAATCCTTAAATGCAGAATTTCTTTCGCTAGGAGCGATTGTCTCTGTATATACAGGGGAAATAAAATCTGCTGTGACGTCATTTGAATTTTAATGATGTATGACATTTTTAAAAAAGTTTATTTTATAACACTGTTAAACTTGATTTGCTAGAGTGATGATCATGAGAGAATAAAGAGGGTTGGCACCCTATATATTCAAAAAATGTATTTGATATAGCTGATTTTTAACCTTGCAAATGTATTCTTAGGCTAACCGACTTTTATGGAATACTAATTTTAAGATGATGCAGTCCATTGTGATGTCAACAGAAACTTTTAAAATTATTGGAAAAATGAATGCTGTATGTAATGATAGAAAGTTTTTTTATTGTTAGAATTCCTAATAAATTTAAAGAACTAGATTCAAACATTCCAGTGTTTTGGTAACCTGTAGTTCAAGGGAAAGAATCTTTCAAGTACAAAAGCCAGTTGACCCCATTTTTGTCGGATAATTCTTTTTGCGTTTTAACGCAACAATTTCCCGAAAAAACACGATACTTTCAATTACTACGCGTAACTTTCGCATTATAACGCGAAATTATATGCTTTAAATAATGCTTTTCATATGCATGAACCTTACTGACAGACAAGAAAAATATGAACGCGCAGACGGGGACTTCATCTATAAATGACCGACATTTCCTCTGAAATCAGACATGAATGCATCCGAACTGATTTAAACCTAAAAAAAAACTGCAAACAATTGTTAGATATATTATTCAACCAG